AGAAAAATAAGGAAAATGAAAAAAAAAAAAAAAGAAAAAAATGAATTAATGAATACTATATATAGTATTTATATATAGTATATCTATATATATATATACATACACAATGTGCTCGTCTAATGACCGTTTTAATAATAACAATGATATTCATATCGGAGAGCAATGACCAATCATGATGTAACATTATACATGGATGTTTTTTTCCTTTGCTTTCAACGTGTTCTTCGTGCAACCTTTTTTCAAGTATCCCTCTATCCCTTCGTTTCGGTTACATATGTATTTACTCGTTTATCCATCTATTCTTTAATATTGTATATAGGGTGTGTATCTTTTTTGGAATGTATATTTGAAATTTTATATCTTTGAAGTGAAAATGAAAGTTTCGATTTTTTTCTCTTATATTATTGTTATTATTTTCCACTTTTGATGGTTTTGTATTTGTCGATTTTCGGGGCGCTTGGTAATTTTTTTTTTTTTTTCATTACATCGGGAAGATATTGTTGTGTAATAATTTTATAATAATTTCACAGTGCGTTCAATGTTTGGTAAGTTTGAAAAATTATCTAATTAAATTTTATTTGATGTGCTTCTTTCTTTTATTCTTTTATTATTATTCGTCGTGTATTCGGTAAAATTTTTTAGAAAATTTTTTCGAAACACCCTGTATACCATGTTCACTTCGAGCAACGATAATTCAAACATTAGGATATAACGATTTATGAAAAAAAAAGCTTCATTTATTTTTATTCAATATTATCACGTTCAAAATTTTTTAACTTTAAATTTAATATTACAATTACATTTTTTACATTATCGAAAGACTATATTTTAAGTATAGGTAAGTCTCTCTCAAACATTGATTGAAACGAAACTAAAAAAAAAAAATCCTCAATAAAAAAGAAAAAAAATATACAAAATAAAACGAGTTCAATCGATTTTTTCAATTTCACCTTCGATCTCAATTTTATGGCGCTCCAATCGAGGTGCTGCCTTTTTTTATTTTCATCGTAAAAAATCCACGGATAAAATTGCGAAAAGTGTGTGCACGTGTGTGTGAAATCTATTTTACGAACTAACTCGTTGAATTTAATATTTCTTAGAAAAAAAAAAAAAAGAAAAAAAGAAAAAAAAAGTAATTTATATCTCGAACGAATACAAATAGGAAGCACGCAAGAATAGAAAAAAAGGTGAGGAACGATCGAATTATCAATTCGTGATTTTTCGTACATTTTCTATGTAATAAAAAAATGATTCCTTTTTTGCCTTGTCTAATGGTGGCTTCCATGAAGACAAAACGCCATCTATGAAGTCGAGAGATACGTTATCGTATTTAAGTAGGTGATATCCCTTTAAACCTGCTCTCTTCTTGCTAAAAATTCTTTTCAATTCTTTGTTCAACCCTTTGTCTCGTTACAATTAATTTTCCATTAATTTTAATTGATCTTATTTAACAATTACTTTAATTGTTAATTTGTTTATCGCGAATAAGATGGATTAATTAATCGAATTCGAAGTTAATGTTATTTAATTACAATTTGAGATCAAAGTTTTTTTAATTATTCAATTATTAAATTTTCATTTGAAAATTGATTGATTTTTTTTTTTCTAATTATAAATTTTTCCATCAAAGGGTTGAAAACAAAGTACTTCGATTCCAAGTACTTTTGTGTACAATTTGTAAATAAAAATATCGTATCGCTTTTAACATTTTCTATTTTCTCCTCTCTGTGAAGTAATTCTCTTTAAGGTGTTTGTTCTCTTTGATCAACGATCGAACTCGATCGAGAAAGTATTTTAGATGGACAAACATTATTGAAAAATTCGTTCAACGTCAAAGTGGTAGTATTAGTCGGTGTGTCCTTTCGGAAAAAGCATTCCAATATTTCACTAGCATCGCAATTAATCTCCAACGGAATCAATGTGATCACATACGTTCCAATATATATTTTAAAATAGCTTATCGTTTCAATATTTTCCATTTTTATTTTGATGAAATTAATTGCAATGCTTTGATTAATATTATCTGAATATTTTTTCTGGAACAATTGAAATTTATGTAGCAGGATCTCGATTATCCGTTTGAAATAAAGATTCAGAACAAATTGATTGTTTAGAAAATAATTGAAGAATAAATAAAGGATCCTGATTGACCCTTTCTTGGTCAATTTTGGATCGTTCATTTTATTGAAAAATAACCTTTTACCTCGAAATAAGTTGTACGTACTTAAGTAGAAAAAAAGAGTGTACATTGTTTCATCTCAAAAAGAAAAAAAAAATAGCAATTGAATTTTTTAATTATTATATTATATTAATAAAAATAAAAATAATAAAAATAATAACGAAGGATATGTAGTACGAAAATAGCGATGTAAATAGTAGCTAGTAATTACTCATAAGTAATTTTTGTTCAAGTTGTTGCTTTACTCTGATTCTCTTCACATTGCGTAAATTAATTACCCGAAACTTCTTCTGTATTATAATTTCCAGATCTACTTGCTCGTTGACTTCGTATTCTTGTGCTTTCGATTCGAGATGCTGCCAATAATTCTATGCCAATTGTTACGTCATTGTTTCGCCCTTTCTGATCACGTACGATCGTTTCTACTTATACAATATCTTAGACTCTTCTTTTTAAATTCTTTTCAAAATTTTTATTACAATTCATAGAATATTCTTCGCATTTCTTTCTCAACGATGGGAACACAAGATATTAAAGATTGTTCTCGAAAATATCAGATTCGTAACAAAAATATCAATTATTGGCAACAGTTCGACATCCAAACTTCTTTCTCGTTCCATCTAGAAAATGAATCACGTGTTTCGTGCCAGCTCGACTGTACATTTATACATCATTCTCGAAGTAGCACTTGTCTCAAATCGCTTCTCTGATATCCAAATCGCGACTCGTACCCTTTTATATCGAGAAACCGCGACAATGGAGGATCGCCTTGGTTTCGCGCGAATTAATTGTCTGATTATTTTCTCGGTTCTTTTATGTCCTGATGGTCGATTCTACGGCAGAGGGTGCCGCCAATTTGTCCCGTGAGACGCAGCAAAAGCTTCCCAAACGAGAGCGAAACGACCGATCACGCAGCCGAGCTCGAGGACTTCCTCTCCTCCAGATCAGGTATTCCACGATGTATCGATCGTAAAATCTTTTCTTCGTACTTTGTGATTTCCACCGAATTTTTGTTCATTTTATACAAAGAGTTGGCAAAAATATTCAACTTTCCTATTCTGATCTCTCATATTTTCATTTTCATGAAAGTTAAATTATATAATAATCGCGTTGCGAACGATATTCCATGCTTAAAAATTCTTTGCAGCAAAGCAGTAGAGTCCTTTTCAAAAATATCCAACGAATAAAAAGTTCTTTTGCTTTTATAATTTCCAAAAGATTCGAAATAAATTTCTCTTCACTTATAATTGTAAAAAGACCTTTAACAATCTCGTAAAGAATTTTTTAAGAATTCTCGAACGTTCCATCGATCCCTGAAGAATTCCCAAAACCCTTTTTCCTAATTTACTTTCTCCAAATTTCAGGAGTGACGGAGCTCTCGATGGACAAGCCAAATGGGATAGGATCCGAAGAGGAGGAGGAGGAGGAGGAGGATCACTGGAAGGACGCGTCGCCCATCACACCCACTTGCAGCCCCACCAAACACCCGCCCAAAGCTATCGAAACAAGGACGAAAACCGTGGAAGTCGAGGTGCACGACTTCCAGCCGACCAGTCCTCTCGAAGGAAAGGACGTGATCATCATCGACAGCAGCGCCACCCCGCCCAGCAAGAAGATGGCGATGAAGCGGGAATCGACGACAGGCGTGGAGAAAGTAGCGCCGAAAGTGAAATTAAAGAGGGAGCAGGTGGTGGTAGAGGCGGACGACCAATCGCAAAAAGTGCCTGAAGTAGCTGGATCATCGACATCCGTGGAGAAGAAACGGGTATCCACGACGAGGGAAGCCCCGACAAGCGACGCGTCGTCCGACAGAGGCGCCAAGAAGAAGACGTTCAACAGGAAGGATCAAGACAGGAGATCCTCGAGAAGAAAAATCGAGGAGGAATCTTCGAGGGGAGGGGAAGAACCGGACGATGGATCCAGGAGGAAGAGGGATCCGGAGGAAGTGACGATCAGGAGCAGGGAGGAGAGGAAGAGTCTGAGGGAGCAGGAGTGCATCGAGAGAGTGACGGAATTCCTGACCAAGCACAGCGTGTTGACCTATCCAGAACTGGGTCCGACGGGTGAACAGGAGGAGCAAGCGCAACCACCGTCCAACCTCTTGGAGATCCAGGAAGCGCCGATTCGAGGTGCCGCCACCTCGAAGCAGGAGCCGCCACTGGCAAGAACGAGAAGCGTGAAGAGATCCGAAGAGGCCGCGAAGGGTCTGCCGCCGGAGAAACCAGTTGTTCCACGCAGCAGACGGTTGGCAGAGTGGCCGTGACACCTGGCAAGCCTCCAGAAACTCGCGACGAGGTTATCAAAACAGCAGCGAGCCAGGCAGAGGCGGACGCTCCGGCGACGAAACGTCGAAGCTCCATGAGAAAGAGAACCTTTTCCAGGGAATCGTCAAGGGAATCATTGTTGGACGACACGAAGAAAGAGGTCAGGATACAGGAGAACGTGGAAGAATTCTTTTTCGAGGACACCAGCGAGCAGATCACCGGCATCGTTCCTGAGGTTCAGCTGGTCAAAGCTAGGATAATCACCGCGGAGGAGGTGGCGGCGAATAGGGTGGAGGAGCCGATGAGGATCGAGGTCCACTCGCCACCGGAAGTGGCGGTCGTTGTCAACACCACAGACTCGGTCAGGGTGAAGAGTGGAAGGGTCCCGTCGCCCGAAACCGTGGACATGTCCCAGTTGCAATTGATCAGCCTGGCAAAATCGACATCCGAGAACACGTTGATCGACAAGGAGGTCGTCGGCGACGAGGAGAACAAAGTTTCCGAGAGGAATATCAAGGCTGAGATTTTGCTCGACTTGTCCAAGGTGTCGGATGTTGGGGACGAGGGGGAGGAATCGATCGAGGGGGAAAAGAAGGAGAGACGGTTGAGCCGAACCGGGAGCGAGGGGTCGAAGAGGAGTGGATTGAAAGGTCAGGGAAAGTTGAGGGAGAGGGACGGTTTTAAAATCGGGAGTTTGGCGCAACCGGATGAACCGGAACTCACCGTGTTGCTGGAGAACGAGAGGAGGAGGAACGTTGACGACGACAGAGACAGTTTGGTGGATTTCGGTGTGGAGAAAGTAATTAGGAGGTAAGTGTTGTTGATGATGTAATGCTAATGTAGTATAATTTCTTTTTAGGATAATTTAGTTGAAATTTCTTAATCTTAAGATTAATCAAAGATTGGGTAAAGTTTAAGGATTTCAAGCATTTGGGGATGGTATATTATATCTGGTTTCGGAATTTTTGAAACATATTTTTATTGCGTTAAAGAGTGATAAATTGTGAGTAAACAATTTTAAAAGAATTAGAAATTCCATTTAAATTTATTAATAATTTCTGCGAAGTTGCTAATACGATCTCATCAAATCTTTAAATCAATAATTATTAAACCAATTAGTTCCATCAATAGTATTAACTAATCGAATGTATTTAATTGATTACAATTAGTTAGATTATATATCATGTTAGAATTAAACAAAAGATTAAAGAGATTAATCATATTGATGATGATAAATTATATCACTAATCATTCGCTAATTCATTAATATCTTTAACTAACAAACTAATAGAAGACAAAAAGATTAAAAATAAAAAATTCCATCATAAAATCATCAGATTAAATCATTATCATGATAAATTGAATGTTGAATAACGATAAAAAATTATTATTATTATAACTTGTTTTGAGCGACCAATTAAAGAGATTGGCAGTTAATTAAACGAAATTATAAATGGAATAGTCTCGTGGCATAGCGTAGGAAAGGGCTTCGAATGTCGATTAATGTGCAATGTTATTTTCCAATGTGCAACCAATCCGATGGATTACACCGGTGACCGTAGAAATGCGCACAATTAGTTAGAAATCTAGGTCGTTTGGAATACCACACAGTGTTTCGCGACCCGAAAATTCTATAGCCCTTTCTCCTGGTTTACTATTTTTTTCTTTCTTTCTTTCCCCCCCTCTCTTCCCCCCTCTGCCAGCCAACCGATCAATTATTTTTTCCCTACTCGGCACTGGCTTGGAACTTTTTTGCCAATCGGCTTTGCCAGTGTGTGAGAAATTCGCCTCTTCCAGACAAAAGATTATTTTCATTTAGGAAGGAATAATAAATGGAAAAGTTGTAAAAAGAGAAATACAATTTTAAAAACGCGGACTAAACTCGTCCAGGGAAAGGATTTGAATATTATTATTTCAAGGGGGGGAAAGCAATCTCAAAGGAACGAAAAGTTACAAGTAAATCTCATTAAACAAAAAAAAAAATTGACCATTAACATTTCAAAAGGGGAAAATTTAAATAATCAAGAAAATCAGGATTAAGAAAAATTCTCTCAAAAGCACACGAATATAATTGAACATCTCGTTACGCAATACTCAAATAAGTAATTAACACAATTTCTACAAAAAGAGAAAACTTTCGATCACAATTTGAACGATTATTAAAAAAAATTTCAAAACAAGATTCGGGACGCAACCAAGTTCCATCGAACAAATCCTGGTAGAGGATTCCTATTATCAACGTACCGACAAAGTTCCAAATTCTTCGCAACCCTTGTGAATCTCCTCACCCCATCCCATCCGCGAGAAACTCGGCGAAGCCAAAACGAGACGTCACAAAGAGGCTGGTGTGGAAAGGCAGGAAAAGTGGGTTAAAAGAGTAGACCAATCGTGTGTTGGTGTGGCAACCGAACGCGAATACAAATGCGAAAAAATGAAGGGGAGAGAGTGGGGGAGAAACTCAGAGAGTAGTCGTGGAACGAAACTGGACGATAAGAGATAAAGGAGAGCAGTTGAATAGGAAACGGTAACGCGGAAGAAGGAAGAGGCGAGACGTCGCCGGGGGGCAAAACAGAGAAGAAGAATACAAAAGAAATCTTTCCTTGTTTTCTCGTAAAGTGAGATTCGGCGGTTGATGCGCCAATATACGGGGTGTTCCTTTTAATTTTATCATGAAAGACTCGTATTATTCTTCTTTTTTTTTTTTTTCCTTTTAATTTTTGAAGTTCGTTAAGATCACGAGTTAGCAGAGCAGAACAAAAATTTTTTCTCGTGAAAATTTGTATTCTATATAGGGTGTCTTGAATGTAATAATCAAAATTGTATTTACTTTTGGCAAATTATTCATTTCGTTTTAGTATTTTAATATTGAAAGAATTCGAAGATAGATTCAGAAACGTGGAATAAAATACTTATGAAAGAATAACAATATATATGTATATAAATTCTATTTTATTCTTACTTTTACGCGAGTCTTCTTGAGAAAACAGGTCGAGGAATATCTTTTTTTTTTTTTTTGGACTATGAATATTTTACCTTGGATTCTTATCGTGGATCACTGATGGCTCGGTATTAATATTGTACGAATTCTGCTTGCCTTGAAAAAGAAGACATTATCTGGTATTAATATCTTCTCGAGTTCTGTCTATCTTTAATACTTAGGGTTATTCGGAAAGCTTGAAATCTGATAACACGATAGATATTCATCTATATAATGGGTCACGAATTTATTAAATCGTTCGACGAATCGCACACGACAAAAGAAACGAATGATTATTTGGTTTAAAATTCTTGCAAAAAAAAATTAAAAGTAGTTTAAAAGTATATAAAAAAATTAGAAAATTTTTGATATTTTCATATGTGTTTCGTTGGTAAAGTGTGTCGAAAAGTATCTTTCTTTATGAGAATTTTATCTCAGAAATTTTCATCGTTCGCGAAAAATCTATGCGACATGGCACGTGTAAATATTATATAAGAATTCTACTTTGTTTTCAAAAAGAGGAATTTATATATTATTCGTTTATCATTAGTATTGGAAAAAGATAAAATTTTTCTGTGACAAAAAATATATATTCACACGTATATATTTTCTAATCATCTTTCTTTTAAACGATGGAAATAATTTAGTCAACAGATCGGAATGATTTATACAATTAAAACAGATTGAGCCTTTGATTTAAGATTCTCTTTGTAACGAGATTTTTATTTGAAGTTTCTGATTGGATGGAAATATCTAAATTCTTTTGAATTTGTCCCCTCTCGTCAACCATTCAATCCGCCAAAAATGTATTTATTCAACAATCGACGTATAAATGTGCTTTTATCGTTTTGACATTATCATATCAATTGGGAATGAATTCCTTTTCATTCTTCCCCTATTGTCGGCTATTGATTTTTCAATCCGATATCGTTCTTACTGTCTTTGAAACGTTCACTTTCATCAAGTGAAAGGGGGGAAAAAAAAAAATAATAATAATTTTACTACAAACTTCATTCTAAATATTTCTGTTAAAATAAAATTTGTTTTCAAATTCAAAGGCACCCTCGAAAATTATAATTCTCCTTAAATCCACCAATTTGAAAAAACCTTTCGAAATAAAAAAATAATTTCAAACATTTGAAAACCAATCTCAAAGACAATTTCTTACAAAAAATGAACAATTTCAAACACACCTTTTCTCTCATCTCATCACCCATACTCGATCCTAAAATCCCTAATAAAAACCCTTTCGAGGAAAACCAAAATCAAAAGCAAAAAACGTAAATCTCAAACGTACAATTCACACTCCATAATAATTCTGGAAACAACAAATTCAAAAAAAAGTTCCAAAAGAACCACCCTGTGTGTACTACACCCTTCATCTTTCGTTGAAACGAGACGGAAAGAGAGTCAGAGTAGAAGAAAAAGAGACGGAGGAAGCTCTGCGGCAACCGTAGCTGCTCGTCGCTTCCTCCCACGCGGTTGCAAAGCCTCGCTCTGCCTCTCGTGGATTCGCGCTCTCACCTACAAACATCCACAAACGCACGCACACACGCGTCCACAGCGGCGAGAGTAACGAGCCTGCGTGTGCATGCACTCGCAGGAGAACGCTCCTGGAGGTGGTTGCTCGCGATTAGTCACGATTCTGGCCGCCTCGGCTCCGCTCCACGTAACACTCCACACTGTGGATAACGGCGGCAGAGATACTACAGAGTGCGAGAGAGGAGACAGCCTGCTCAAGTTTGCACGTGTAACAACAACGCGTTTGCGTGTTTGCAATGCGGGTTTGAGATTGTATGAGGGCGTTTGAGGGAGAGGCGCGCGCGTGCGACGCCACGTTTTCGACGCACGGAGAGGAGCGTGTTGTTTATTAGATCAGTGTAAGCCAGTTTGCAGTGACGCAGCGGGACGCGACAGTGGACACCTTGGCTTCGTGGAGGAACGTGAGAGGTAGATTTCTTCTTCTTCTTCTTTTTCTTTTTTTGTAAAATTGGTTTTTAAAGATTTTTAAAGATTCGTTTCTTTGGTTTTTTTGTTTTGTTTTGTTTTTTTTTTTTTTTTTTTTGAAGAAGAAAAGGATGATGCGATTTCGAAGAAATTTAAGGAAAGATATTTCGTTTTAGAAAGGGTTTGAAGAGGTTTGTTTTAGATTTAGATTTATGTGTTTTATGCCCTCTCCGTTTGAAAAATTGATTTAATTCCATGGTTTTTGTTAGTTGTTCGATATGTAGGAATGATTAATTCATAGGAAAGATTTTAGGTGTTTTTTTTTGTTGTTGTATTGTTATATTGTTGTTACTTGTGAGGTGCAAGAAAAATTAATTCATCGTAATTTTTTTGGCAGAATGATTCGGTTTTTTAAAAATTTTGAATAATTCAAATGATCTTTTGAAATATTTCCAATTATTTTTCACCTTATAAAAGTGGAAATTAAGTAAAGTGAACGTTTATCAACAGAGAATTTTCTACAACGAAGAATAAGGTAATTATAATAAGTTCAAGTGCTTGAAACTTTTGCTCTGTGAATTTTCTTATTTTTCTTCTTTTCGATTTATTCTTAAGGATTCATTTGGAATGTTTTAAGAATAATAAATTGACAATAAGAGTGGCGATTGCTGGAATCGTTTTCCTAAGAAATTCACAAAGTGGTGATTTCTAAGAATATGAAAGTTTCGAAACATTTAAACGTTTTCAAATTATGAATGTTTGAAAACGTATAATACTTTGTATTTTCTTTCTATTTAGAAATTGTTGTTTTCGTTCAACAAAAAGAGGATAAAATTTATCTATTATATAAATAGAAGAATTTTATTGATTCCACTCTATTCTGAATTCTCGAAATTTAAATATTTTTATTATTTTCTCAAACTTAAATTATTTTGTTCTTCGTTCGTAAAAAATTCTCTGTTCACTATTAATTCTACTTTTATAAATAAAATTTCAAATAATTAAACAACCAAAAACTTAAAGATTGCAAAGATTGTACAAATTTAACAAATATTTTATATTTTTTTAATTTATATTTTTTTCTCAATCACCCTTAGAAATTATTCAAATAATTATGCATTTTTATTAAAATAATATATATTTTTTCTATATAAAGGAATTTGTTATTAGTTGGAATAATGATTAGATAATAGGAAAACCACGAGAATACTTTTGTAAGAGTTCCTTTAGCTTCTTCCGTGTTTAGGTTTACTTCTGGTTCTATATTCAAATCACGTACACGTGAAGGGAAATTTTAAATCGTTTCGAAAGGGGTGGAAACAAAGGAGAGTTAGTTGATTTTTGCGACGTGATTAGCTTCCAGGTTGAAACACGCGAAAGGTATATAATAAAGGGGGGCGGGGGGTGATACAATTTAGGTTATTTATCAAAGGGACTGTTGATAAATTGATATTATATTGGTATTATATATCTGAGGGTTGGCTTTAAATTTAATCAACCTTCGTTTGAAATAAAGTAAAGAAAGAAATTTGTAAATGAAGGAGAATTTTTAAATCGAAACTTTTCTTGAATCGATTTATAAATTAATATTTTCTTTGCAATATTTACAATATTCTAATTTTTTAATCTATAATATAATTATAATTTTTATTCGCTATTTCATCGTATATTTTATTTATATCGATCATCATTTTTTCCTTTAAATCTTCTTTCTTTAAATGTTGCAATCTTGATAGTTGTTTGCACGTAATTATTTCTATTTTTGGAATGGGGATCAATTTTAAGAGAAATCAAAATAAAACGATATAAAAATAAACTTAAACGTGTGGGTGATGCAATTTTTCTTGGTATTAAAAATCGATCGTGACCTATTTTCACAATATGACTAAACATCATCGATAAATCCATAATCGTGAAATTTGAACTCTGCTTTCAATTCATCTACAAATGAATCTTTTTTCTTCCGTTTAAATTTATTGGATGTCCATATATAATAATCGTCATCAAAATTTGTACGTAATTTACAATATATTCATTTTGTTAGGTGATTTATAGAAAAGTAAAGTTATGATGTAAAAAATTTTATAGTATATTTGATTTAGAATTAAAATGGTCTACTTGAAAAACAATTTAATGATTAGAGAGAAAAAAATGTTTTATCATTAATCTAAAATTTATTCGACAAAATTTTACGATTCTATGCTATAAATAAAGCACTTGTATCATAAAACTCAAGCGTAAAATACGAGATCTAAACAAGCTAATTCCAATATATTCAAACTCAAGGAGATTTTTCGAAATATATATATATAGAGTAACAACATAAAAAATCAAATATACAATAACCAATAACAGTTGCTTTTTCAATTGCTTATTCAATTTTTAATAAACATTTTTAAACCCCCAGTAAAATTTGAAACACGTTCAGAAGGATACATACATCTATAAAATTTATTGATTACACACAAAATAATCATTTCCATACACCAAATGTCACACAATTCTATGTATATATCTCATCTCGTGGAAGCAAAAAAAAAAAAAAAAAGAAACATTACTTGTTCCCTAATATAAACTGACATTTTAAAAGTTCGATGAGCATAACATAAGCACATTACTGACGATAATAGCGATATAACCTAAACTATGCGTCGATTTTTCATACGAAACTATCAAGACCACGTGCATTCACCCAACCATCAACTTCTTTTTTTAGCTCGTTTATCATCTGTCGCATTGTCCAAGACGGAACTTTTCTCTCCTCGAAACTTTTCACGTGTTCCATAAGATGTACAAGATGTCTCAAAAGTTAAGATTTAACCGGTTGATTTCAAGAAAATCCTTTTTCCTTCGCAAAAATGTTTCATTCATTTCCACTTTGTTAACGAGAAATTATTAATTATTAACGAAAAATAGTTAAAGAGTGCTGCATCGCAGTTCTAGTGTTGGGTATGTGCCGCCAGCAAATTACCGAGCTCGAACAAACAAGTCGAGGCAACATAGGTCGAAGCTAAATAATTTATTCATTGTTCGTCGAATAAGGTATGATTCTTTTAATTACCTCATCATAATTATTCAACATATTTGCTTCCACATTTGTTTGTTCAGACTCGTTGTTTGAATCTAATGATTCGTTAAATGTCGCACATACCCAACACTACGCGATTGCCCAATAATGTTTTTCGTTGTAATGACGAAAATTTTCGCAATGGAAAAATTTTCGCGTTGAAATAATCCGAAGAGTAATCGGTTAAGCGTTTTATCGACTTCTCGAACTTCCTGTAAATCGAAATCGACACAGGAAGGAACTCATACGACGACCTAATGTTATTGTTAGAACGCGTCCACCGCATTGAGACGCTATTATATAAGAATTATATACACACGGATACAAACGTGACCGATATACATTCGAGGAGGAATATAAAGCCGGTCTTGTTCGTGTGAATCGGGTGTTCGAAGTCGTAGCAAGACGAAGTCGTAACGAGGAATTATACGACCGGTCACGGGCTCTTTTGTCGCGAATTTACGACACGCCAGGGGCTATCGAGGTTCTGGTATATTTAATGAGGCAGCGCCGAGATGTTTCTTGAACCCTTCCAGTTTTAAATGTTGGGGGAAAAATTCTCCGCCCTCTTTGTAATTTGGAAAAGAAGGATATAGGAAAAGAAGGTAAATTTTTCCAAATATTGAAAATCGAACGTGATATTTAGAAATTTTTAAAATTACGAAATATTACGAAAAACATTGTTGGATCGACGAAGATGTTATTTAATATCATTGAAGATAATATCTTGGAGAGACGTTTGATGTGAAAAAAAAAAAAAATAACTGGCGCAATTTATTTATTCATGGAAAAACTGACCAACGAAACTTTTTAATTTAACTTGGAGCGTATTCCCCCAGTGATATAGAACTGTATTTTTATCAATCCATAAATTTTGTTAATAACGAACTTCTCTTTAGACACTTTTATTCATTTACATTTGCATACGTTTCCGAATGTATAAAACATCATGTTGAGATATAATTTCACGCGACGAATAGCTCGCATTGTTACATTGTTTCAGGGTGAAATAATTGCAAACGCTGTCGTACAAAATTAATATAATTACTTCAATAATTTCATCAAGAACTTTATTTTTTAATTTTATTCCTCTAGTTTTGATACTTCTTCGTCGTTCTCTGTGCTCTATGAATTATTTTATTATATTCAGAAATCATAACCTTCTCTTTTTATTCATTCATCAATTAATTGTAATTAATAAATATATTTTTCATTAATTATAATTAATAGATTGGTTTCTTCATCATTCTATGTATTCTATGAATCATTTTATTAATTCATAACGTGTCTTTCCTCATTTCAATTAATTGTAATTTGTACTAAGAAATCAATTGATGAAATTCAAAATTTTACACAAAAATTTTCAAGAGAAATCCATTCAATCTCTATGATCGATACCTCAAATCCTCCAATTTTCGCATCATGAAAAAAAAAAAAAAAAAAGAAACATCCCATCGAATACTAATCTCTACATTATCAAACTTCACTTCGACAACCGATCGACCGACCGATCTCCACCCTTTCATTCATCCCTCTTCATCATCCGATTAAATCGATTCGATTAAAAAAAAAAAAAAATCACTTCGATCATCCTCTGATGCCATCAGCTGATCCATCTTACCGACCAATCGTACAAATCATCGTTCAATCCATGGCACGATTAATGGGTCACCACCGAAGACCCGAGCGTTCCGCAAAATTCCTCCGGGTTCTTCAACCGCGAATAAGAGAGGAAGCCCGAGCCGCTCAAAGCGGATAAAACCATCCGCTTCGTTAGCGGCACGCCCTCCTTACTTTCTTCTTTTTTTCCTCTCACTCGTGCGCTTCCTTGTTTGCCCCCAAGGGAGCCTGCTGACCAACGAGTCGAGGAGGAGGTTCTTCTTCCATCGTCGAGGAGGAGGATCCTTCAAACTAGAAGAGGACTAGCCGAGTTCGAGGAGGAAGCGCGGTTGGATCGGACACCGGTCGCGGAATCGAGAGATTATGAGAGAGCGGGGCGGCTCGAGGAATCGGTCACCTTCAGGCCCGAGCTCAGAGGAGGCGAGGAGGACAGCAGCTTGATCAGCAAGGAGCACTCGTTGGAATACCAGAGCCAGACACTCGAAAGCCAATCGGAGAGTCATCTGTTGCTCTCAGCCTCGTTGGAGAGCCTTCTTCTCAGATCGGCCCCGGACAGCTGGCCTGGGAGCCAACGGTTGGACAGGAGCGAGGGATCCGAGCGCAGCTTCAAAGAGACCCAGTACTCGCCCAAGGAGAGGCAGGACGCCCAGACCCAGACAGAGCAGGAGACGAAGAGCACCCAGTGCAGCCCTGAGGAGCAGGCAAGCGCGGCGAGCCCGATAGGGGAGGAGACCTCTTCCTGGGAGAGCCCGAAGCGGTTGGCTTCGAGGAAGCATCATCAGAGCCCGAGACGCGAGGTCGAGACTCAGACTCAAGGGGAGAGCAAGAGCGTGCAGTGTTGTCTGGACGAGTTGGGCGGTTTGTCGAGGATTGTTCAGCCGCGAGAATCGGACGAGTCGTTCGACAACAGCCCGTCCAGGTCGGAGAGGTGTCAGGTGAAGGAGTCGAAGAGCGTCCAGTGTCTTCCCGGGGACATTCCAGGGATCGTCTCGAGTTCGGTGGACGGTGAACCGTCGTTGAATCAGAGAGAGGGGAAGGTTGTCCCGCGTAAGGAGGTCGAGGTTCAAACTTATCAGGAGTCGAAGGCCGTCCAGTGCAGCGATGACGAGCTTCTAGAGGCGGCCGGTGTAGAATCGTTTGGCGGTGTAGAGGAGGGTTTTAAGGGAAGGCGGAGGGGAGGAGGTAGTTCCGGGTCGTCGAGCTGCGGCTCGCTTTGCGAGCTTCCCACGTTGGTGTTCGTCGACGAGAAGATAGACATGACGGTCACGCACAGGGATCACGATGGAAACGTGAGCTGGTCGAAGCATTGGGGGCCCGAGAGGCTGGTGGAGATCTACAGGGAGCCGAAAACTAGTCTTGGACTGAGCATCGTTGGTGGAAAGGTGCGTTCCGTTGGTTAAAAATAAAAAGTGTCTGTCTCTCTTCGCGATGGATGCGCGCGTGTGTGTATGAGTGGGTAGGGACAAGAAGCGCGCGCGTGTGTATTTGGTGAATGGAATCTCGTGACCGTGAATATGATTCATCTTCTTCCTATTTTTTTTTTTTTCCCCTATATTTTTTCTCTCTTCTTCTTTTCGTTGGAAGAACAGAAGCTGGGTTGGAAGTAGGTTAATTGACGACGAAGTTGTCAGAGATTTTGAGATGGAAAATTTTATATTAACGAATATATTTGTGAAAATTCTTATTTTTTCTTTTCCTTTTTTTTTTTAATTTTACGCGTAATTCTTCTTATCCCGTTTCTTGTTCGTTTCGTATCGTATGTCTCTTCGCGAGTATCGTTGTTACGTTGAACGTAACGAGCGTAATTCTTTCGCTTTTATTAATTGGTCGGTTAACGATGTCGTGTCGTGCTAATGGTACCATGTCGCCGGCATTGATAATTTCAATCGAGCGCCATGAGCTTCTACGCTGTGCACCGTGTCCATTAGTGTACCGTGTGTACGGCTTCAAGATATCGATAGAGTCCGGCCATCGATCGAAACACCCACTTTCAATTATTCTATTAAAACGTCATTTTCGTCAGAATCAATTTTAACGTCGTAGCGATCTCGAGATCTTTGGATTAATTTTTTTTTTTTTTTTACTTAAAAACTAATATTTATCGTTCTTTATTATCCGGTAAATTGGATTTTTTCGAAGAAAATTAAGGTTGTCCCGATGGTATTCCAGTGATAACAAGGAAAATGGTAACAGCCTAGTAATCTTCTTAAAAGTTCTCTTGGGACTTGTAGTCGACGCAAAAGGAATTATATAGATTTAACAAAAGGAAAGAAGAAGTGGAAAAAGCAAACGAGGTTCCTCTTCTCGGAACCTAATAAATTTGTTGGATCCTCTCTCAAAAACAAATTTACCCAATTCCAACCATCATTTTAATAAATTTACCCCCCCCCCTCCAACAAAACAAGAGAGTCTCAAAAGTTAGAACAAAACAATGAAAAAAATTTCTACTCTTGTTCGTAATGATAACTCGATTCTATTCCTCGAAATTTAATTAAAGATTCGTTCGAATTCCAAAGTTCAACGTTCGAGAAATGTCCAATTGTCGAAATTTCTAATAAACCGAGAATTCTTCGATGAGCTACAGGATTTGATAAATGCTCGACTCTCTCTCTCTCTCTCTTTCTCTCTCTCGTAACTTATGAAAGTTTACGCTTCTCGTGAAACGAGTTATGTAAACACGAAACGGAAGATATCACACGATATTTTCGTGAATTTTAGAGAACGAATTTCTTGCTCTTGCAAGAGAATTTCACTCTTACATCGCGACATCGTGAAGTCGATTTCATTCGTGACGGGATCTCACGTATGCACGTGACAAAGTGCAGGCTTGCTCGCGACGAGGAAGGCCGAGTGTTCAAGGCCGTTTCTTCAAGCAAGATTGCTTCAAGTATAATCTTTCCTTCGTAACGAACACCTGTCATCATGATGTAACTTTCAACTCTTTCTAGCTTGCTTATTCCATTCTTTTGCAAATTAAAAGACGAGAAAAAGAAAAACAAGACGCAACATTGCCGAAAGACGTGAGAAAATTAAATTAATAAAATATCAAGCGAGATTTAAAATGAAAGATGAAAGAAACGATCGATTCAATTTTAGCTTCAAATTCAAATTCTTCGTTCTAGGTCGATCTGCACAATGGCAGCTCCAGCAAGTCGCAGAACATATCCGGGATATTCATAAAGAATGTGTTGCCGAACAGTCCAGCCGGAAGGACCGGCGAGCTGAAGGTAACGTATGCGACATGAATTTCTATCCGTGTGTTCGAGGAGGAAAGGAGGAAACGACCGTTCTGTATTCCGTTCCAATCCCGCAAGAACATTGAACTTGAAATTTCATGGATTTATCGTGATGAACCGCCGACCTTGACACGTATCCATTTATCGTTATATCCATCGAGATGATGAAAGAAGCATTTTCGAATTTTTTTTTTTTTTCACGCGATCGTGTATTTTTGAAAAAGATCCATAAACATCCAGAATATTTGATCGAGAAGCAGAAGAAAGTAGGAAGAATATCGGATCGAATGAATTCGTTTCCAATTCTCGTCACGCACCAACAAAACTTTCTCGATTAACCTAATAAATGGAACCGCGAAACTGGTCGAACGATAAACCTCCATTCTTCGCTGCCTTACACAAAATATCAATTATCTCTCTTTCCCTCTCTCTTCGTTATTCGATATTCATATTTTTATATAACAATTGTGCATAAAAAGAGAAAAAATGAAAAAATGAACAATTAACACTTTTATCATCAAGAAATCCATTATAAAGATAGAGTCGAAAATGAAAAAGTATACCGATATACAATTGTTTCTTGAATCGATCGCAAAAAAGACACAATTCTCAGTGTTCATATTTTTATATATGATATCATATTTCATCGCCAAAAAATCGATAGAGTCGAAAATGAAAAATTATACCGATTTATAATTACACTTGACGAGAATCGATTGCGACGAATCGAGAAAAAGATGACCAAAGATGGATTTAATACACGGCCTCCCCCCTCTTTTTCGTTACTTTCAGATCGGGGATCGAATAATCGAGGTCGATGGCGTGGACCTGCGGCACAGCACGCATGAGCGGGCGGTTGAGGTCATCCAAGCCGCCGGAAATCCTGTCTGCCTTCTCGTCCAGTCTCTGGTGCACCTGGTGAGACCTCCCCACGACCAGGAAAATATCGATGTTACAACCCTTCCCCTCCCCTTCCAACCAAATCCATTGGCATCGATTAATTAGCCATTTGAATCTCTCCCACACGTTTGTTTGTACATGTATACGTTGTATGCGTAGTTGCTCGTGTATTTAAAAATTTCTTTTTTTCGCATTTTGCAGTGTCGTTGCTGTACTTGTCGTTTTTTTATCGCTACAAAAGGTTCTGTCTGTTGAATTTTAATTTTTCGACGAATTTTTTCCCCTTTCGAATATTTATAATATTTGTATTTTTAAAATATAACTTGATGCGTTATTCATACTCATACTGCAATACAGGCTATTTGTGCAAAGTCACGAATAAAATCTTTACTTTTCATACGAAAAATGTGAAGGAGAAAATCAAAAACATTTTGTCCTTAAAATTCATCCAGAAGATAGAGGAAACCATGCTCTTAAAGTGTTTTCTTCTTTCATCCTGTTTCATCTCAATCGGTTATCGAGATATAAAAACCGAAAAACGTGAGAATAAGCGACAGGGATGAAAAGATAGATAAACGATTAAAAATTACATTGCTGTTTCTTTACACGACGATATCTCGGGAACCGTATCGAGATAAATCGAAAAACTTCTTCAAAGGAGAAGATTTCACGCTTCCAATCATCTTTCATTCCTTTACTAAAAATTACTATCTTCGAAGTTATAACGATTTTTAAATCTTTCGTTCCTAATTTTGATAGAGTTAATCGACAACAATTTTAATAACACGTTGCAGACTCTGATTATAATATTTTTTTTTTTCCACTCTCGATTTTAATTTAACTTTTACAATCTCAAGAGAAACTCGAGAAGATATGTAACAAACTTATCCCCTTGAATTTTTCAATGACTTTGTACAAAATATTCTCGTAAACCATTCTCAGGAAAAAGGAAAAAAAAAAAAAATTGGCAGACAGAACCCACTTTATTTTTATCCCTTCCTGACACAATAGCCTCCTTTCAATTCTACAATTTCCTCTGTACTTCCGCCGCTAATTTATCGATTCTTCTCGATGCTTTCATTCTACACACATCTTTTATTTAATTGTGACCACTCCACCGCGCTTGTTACGCGTTCTCGAACGCGAAAGTAGCTCGTTTGCTTGCCGTGTTTCGAGCACCATCGAGAACGTTCGATGACGTTTGCCAGCGGGCCCTCGTAAAAAAGGAAAGTAAAATTGCATCCACGGTGTTGTACACTTTGTAGCAACGCCTCTTCGCCTATTCCGGCACGTGTATGCAAATGCCACGGAAATTGCGGCCGCGTGCTCGATTTTCTCCAGAGTTTTTTTTCCTTTCTTTCTTTCTTTCTTGCTACCGCGGAATCGTAGATTAAAATTTAGTTTTCTTTGCAAAAGAATATGCGCGATTCAAATTAATTTAAATATAATCTCCAGAGATGTTTTGTAATTTTTCTTTTTTTTTTGAATTTCAATTAAAAAGTATTCGAGTTTCGAATTAAAATTTGATTTTTTTTTTTTAGTCTCAATTTGAAATTCGAATATTTGTTTCCTGCGTGAATGGATTGAAATTTTAATAATTCGATCCGAATAAATCGGATATCAAAAATTTAAATATCGATGAGCTTTTTTTTTTTTATAATCGCGTATATTTCATCTTTGCATTTATATAAATTGAAATGGGAAATAGAAATTCATTGCTTGAAAAACTAGGTCGTTTGTATGCTCATTGTTCACTAGTAGTTGCAAATTCAAACACTTCACACGATGGAATCGCAAAAAAAATTTTTTTTTTTATTCCGAGAGAAATTGCAGGAAGGACGATCAAATTTTGCGCCAATGTTTTCGCATGTAATCTGCCGGATTGCTTCGATACATGTGAAATGAACGATTCTCTTTTAATTCCTCTTGTTACGAATATTGGGACAAACGTATACGTACCAATTAATACGTGGAAAAAAAAATAACGATTATATTCTTTGTTCTTCTCGACGTTTAAAAACGTTTAATTCCTTATAAAAATATTTTATTTTGTGTAAAAAAAAAAAAATGTTATTATTCGAAACTGTAACGGATAATTTTATTTCTTTGGCTTTTGAGAAAAAAAAAATTTAACAATTTTGATGATATATCATTAAGAAATTCTTGAAATATTTCGTTTTCCATTAAATGTGCCAATTGCAATTCTCAATTTACAAATTGCATCGATTACTTTCCTTATTGCGTATGAAATAAAAATCGATAAAATGTAAAAATAAAAAATATAGATAACGGATGGATAAAATTTAATATAAAGGTTGTTATGCTACACCTACTTTTTTAATAATAATTTTTTAGATAATTTCCAATTATCCAATCATTTTGAATTTATCTAAATTTTAAAGAGATGGCCTGGATAATCAAAACGATGAAAATATAATCACTGGAGGATAGAAAAAATTAATTTTCTTTTTACACTTTGCGAGTCTTAAAAGTCATCATTGTCCCTGGCATTTCACTTCCACGACTTCCTTCGCGTTTGATGGTCAATCAGGCACAATCTTTCATCGAATCTTGAATTTTAAATTTTAAATTCATATAGAAAAAAAGAAAAGAAGCTATTGATTCTTTAAATTAGTTTGACTATAATGTAAAACATGAAACGTAGACTTTTGATTAATTTTAATTTAATAATTTAATATTATTGATTTTTCTTTTTGTCTTGGATTCTATTTAGATTTTTTTTAGATTAATCCTTCTCTTACAGATTTGTGTTGCATATAATTTTTATATTCTTATTATTAACAACTTGTCATAAATATAAATATAATTTTTGAATTATTTCACTAATATCTTAATTAGAAGATAGAAAATTAGTTAAAAATTAGAACTTGAATGAATTGAATTAAGAAAAAAAAAAAATATTCCACATGACGAAGAAAATTGTAATTGTGAGAAACGTATGTACAATTTGCTATTTTTACTTTAGAATCATGTTGTATAGAAAACAGAAGAACAGTCTTCATATCTCTCACTCGAATAGAATTCTAAACACGCATTTCGAAATGCCAGATAAATTTGAAACATCCTTGATTCTTTTATATCTAAAGATCTATTATCTTCAAATGACTAAAAGAATTTTACTCGTTCGTTATTAGAATTATAAAAAAATTACTTTTTAAAGATCTGAAAGTAATTTAATTTTTCATTAATTTTTCTAGATTAAAAATGATGATTAGAAAAATTAATTCAAAAGTGAAAAGTTATGAAGTTGAATTTATAAATTATGGAATATTTAAATCGTGAAGTGTATCGATTCTGGGATATTTAAATTGCGAAAAATTACATAATATTTAAATTATGAAAAATTTAAATTGTAGAATATTCAAATCGCACAAGATGGAATTCACAGAATTTGATACAAAATATTTTATGTATACAGAATATTTAAATTACACGAGAAGTCGAAGTTGTGGAAACATACGATCTTTTAACAATATTTAATATCGAAATATAAGATATTTAAATCGTAAAGCGAATCATTGAATACGTTATTTATATCTAAACAAAAAGTATAACAAAACGTAAGATCACTAAACAAAAAAACCTAAATTATTAAACAATTTCACATTCCTTTCAAAAGGAATCCACAAATGGAAATAAAATGCAATAGTTATTAAAATTGATCTTCATTTTCTAATATAATATTCAAATTTTTAAATAATCGCGCCTAAACCCTAATTGATCGTAACAATTCTTACAACGAATACAACGGTATAACTTTTTATAGCCACTGTACACCAATCAAAATTCTCCAATACCTATCAATCCATCAACATGGTGGCCAAGTGTTTCCATTCACATGGTTCACAGAGGTTCACTTGTGAACCGGTATGAAATTAAACCTCCTGAACGACGATATGGAACTATCCAGCCTAGAGAG